GTTATTAACCACCAGGATATCCTCTAGGCTAGACTTATGTAGTTACTGTTATTAACCACTAGGATATCCTCCAGGCTAGACCTACGTAGTTACTGTTATTAACCACCAGGATATCCTCTAGGCTAGACTTATGTAGTTACTGTTATTAACCACTAGGATATCCTCCAGGCTAGACCTACGTAGTTACTGTTATTAACCACCAGGATATCCTCTAGGCTAGACTTATGTAGTTACTGTTATTAACCACTAGGATATCCTCCAGGCTAGACCTACGTAGTTACTGTTATTAACCACCAGGATATCCTCCAGGCTAGACCTACGTAGTTACTGTTATTAACCACCAGGATATCCTCCAGGCTAGACTTATGTAGTTACTGTTATTCTCCACCAGGATATTGATTTATTCTGATATGCACGTATATGATTACTGTCTGTCAACCTAAGGATAAACTAAATATTTCAAACCATAAAGATAATAGAATTCTTATCAACCATGTATTTATTAACTAGTCAGGAAGTTAAACGTATTTTCATTCTTAACATCAATTATCTGTCGCGACCCAATTCTCTTCTTGTATCTCTTTTCTCACGAGTGTTATTACCAAGTTTACACCAGTCTGGTAGACTTCAACAATTCCATGATATTTCATTGGCTTAACTATTTGTTTGCAAACTTCCTAGTTGTAGAGAATAAAACGTGAACTTTAAATTTACCTCATCAAAGTCATTATTCGTACTTGTTTGGTTTGTACATTACACGAAGACAATAGAATCATCTGTAGTCTATCTAAATTAGGTTTAGAAACAGATACCTAAATATGTTCTAGTTAGGAAAAAGAGTCGCTCTCTATTGACCGGTTTGTTAAAGAAAGTCCTAATAACAGCGCTTAGGGGTCTTTGTTGACGATTATAAAAGTTGTTAATGATGCATTTTTTTAACAATGCCATAGTATCTTCCTATTCAAATAGGTACAAACGTAATCGTGTTTGTAAAGCGAAACGTTGAGTAATCATATTATCAAACCTTATCGTTGTTGTTTGTAAAATGAAACGTCTACAAATTTAATACTCGAAATTTATCTTCTTTTTTTTTTGAAAGTGAAACTGTGATTACATTTAACCTTCGAATTTCATATTCATTTGTAGAGCGAAACGTTGAGTAATAGAAACGTTTTATGGTTGTTTTCATACTGTGTAGAAGGATAAATGAGACTCCTATACCATTTGTACGTCAAGTTGAACTCGTACTAAAAACGTAAATAAAAAATGTCTCTTTAAATTATAACTAAAAAAAATTATAAATCAGTCTATCAGTTTCTCGTGTTCCAGTAGAGGGCGCGTTTTCGATCGAGATTTTCTCAGAAAATATTACAGTAAATACGATATTATTCTGTTACATTTTACGACTGTTTAATTTGAAATTTTTAAATATAATGATTGGGTTGATTAAACGAAACGTTTATTTTGTTACTAATTGTCGGAATAAATTTGGATTTTTGTTTTATTCCTTTATTTTTAATGGTATTTGATAACCACTAATGAACCAGCGAACATAATTAGGCTTACGTCCAATTAGGAGCATTTCCGTATGAATCAGTCACGCTACACTCAATTCCTTTGTACGGGTATACTCTGTGCAAGTGATGGGATATAAATTGTGTATTGATTCGTCCTCGTGCTATTACCCGAGTAAACATACTTGTTCTCACGAGAAGTAGTTTGCATGGCTTGGCACGAGGAACCCTCGTCCTGAATTTTCGTAACTAATGATATTCGATTAATCTTATATCCGACATAAAGTTTGTTATCTGGTTTCATTTTAACTCCAAAAACTATTTCCTCCCTCCAAAACGTCAACTTGTGATTTACTCCAAACTTTGTTTGTATGAAATGATAAAAATTTGGTCTAAGTGACGTCACAGTGAATGTCGAATTTTCCTACAGGTGGTACCGTTATACAAGTGATTTTCATGCCATAATGACGCCCATCGTTTTTGGGGGTCGGCTGGGGAAGATAGGTGGATCTTTGCTTTTACGTAAGGCGACCGTAGAGGATTCTGGGAAGTATGTTTGTCTCGTGAACAACAGCAATGGCCAGGAGAAGGCAGAGGTTGATCTAACTGTCAGAGGTTTGTACGACTGTATTTTATTTATTACTTGCTTAGTTTTTAAATGTTCTTGAATGAGTCATTATAGATGTTTTTATTTTAAATGATACATCCAGTTATCAAAACGTTGCTGTGAAAGCAAGATGACGGGCACAAGTTTAGATATTACCATTGCTCGAGACACGGGCCTGTTCTTTCTTACTTCTTTTATTTGTATTATTTCTGTTTTTATGTAGCTCTTACAACCTTTTGCTCCGAATTGTGTATCTGATTCATATCCGTGTTTGTTTTTTTAACTCAACTTCTGCATTGTTCATATTGGGATTCTCCTTCCATAAGGCGTTCATTAAATACCCGTTCATTGTGATACAAGAGTTAAGTATTTTGTTTTCTTTATTTTTGTGAACCCATCAGAAGCCCTCCATGTCAGTGTAGTCCCTGTCGTCCACACCGTTGACGTAGGCAAGTCTGTTGTCTTCCAGTGCAACATTTCTGGAAAGCCAGTGAACTTTGTCACGTGGAGGAAAGACCATCAGCAACTGTCACGTGCGAACAGCAGAATCCACCTTGTGTCTCGAGACGTCCTTGAAGTCCGGCAGGTGCGACGGGAGGATAAAGGACTCTATCAGTGTGTTGTATATAATGATAAGGACTGTGCACAAGGAACAGCTGAACTGAAACTTGGAGGTATCTTTCATCTTACTCAATAGTGATTACTAAAAACACTTTAGTAGCATGTAAGATTTAATCACATCTATCAAGTCCATTAATGTGTCATGTTTGAGATATTAACGGGTAGTCTTTCTGATTATGTACCAGCTTTAGAAGTCAGTTGTGTCTGATATTATACCAGCTTTAGAAGTGAGTTGTGTCTAATATTATACCAGCTTTAGAAGTCAATTGTGTCTGATATTATACCAGCTTTAGAGGTCAGTTGTGTCTGATATTATACCAAGTTTAGAAGTCAATTGTGTCTGATATTGTACCAGGTTTATCAGTCTGTTGTGTCTAATATTGTACCAGGTTTATCAATCTGTTGTGTCTAATATTGTACCAGCTTTAGAAGTCAATTGTGTCTAATATTATACCAGCTTTAGAAGTCAATTGTGTCTGATATTATACCAGCTTTAGAAGTCAGTTGTGTCTGATATTATACCAGCTTTAGAGGTCAGTTGTGTCTGATATTATACCAACTTTAGAAGTCAATTGTGTCTGATATTGTACCAGGTTTACCAATCTTATGTGTCTAACATTGTACTAGTTATATCAGTCTGTTGTGTCTGATATTGTACCAGGTTTATCAGTCTGTTGTGTCTGATATTATACCAGCTTTAGAAGTGAGTTGTGTCTGATATTATACCAGCTTTAGAAGTGAATTGTGTCTGATATTATACCAGCTTTAGAAGTCAGCTGTGTCTGATATTATACCAGCTTTAGAAGTCAGCTGTGTCTGATATTATACCAGCTTTAGAAGTGAATTGTGTCTGATATTATACCAGCTTTAGAAGTC